GGGGATCTGAAAATTTAGGGACTGGAAAGGGAGGATGTCAAATTTTTTGGCCATACATAAAATGTCTATCATGTCTATCGCACAAATTTAGGTGGGATATGAAAATTGCTGCTGAGGTTTGGGGGGATCCAAAAATTTTGTGCCTTCTAGCAGGAATGCAAAAAATAACATCCGATAAAATATGAACGGTCCCTTATGCATTCATTTCTGTCCTTTTTCAGACTGGAGACAAGTTATCCTTGTAGTCTTGCATAACATACACCGTACAAAACTGACAGGAGATCTGTCCGACAGCAATTATCTTCTGGATGATGCAGTAAAGAGCAAATTAGCAGACAGAATAGTTCATTTTGCCTTCTCTGAGTATGAGCGATTGTACAATTGTAGACAAAATGACGAGGGGTTTAGTAAGATTAGATACTTGATTGAAAACATCCCATATTCAGCTTAGAGATTAGAGATATAGAAGAGGTTTTGTTAATGGTTAATGATAGAAGAACGTAGTGGACTTAACTACATGCACATCATAAGCAATGTCTGTTCATTGACTTTGACAGAAGTTACGAGCCACAAAGTGCATGCAGCACTARTGATAAGAGTCAAATTTTCAATAGCTTGAAATAAACTGTTTCTATGAGGTCGATTGTGATATTTTCAAGTTCAAAGAACAAAAAAAGCTTTGGTAGCGACAAGTTTTGGTTCGGCTGAACGGAAGGTACACATTTTAAAGATGCAGTGTTTGTCGAAACAAAKGGCAAATCTCCCAACCAACCACCTCCCCAGGTACGTCCCCTTGTACGTCMCCTACGTCACTTGTTTCTCCATGGTTCCACTTCATTGAAGCTCAGACAACAATTTGATTTTTTACATCTCCTTTTATTACAGAGAAATTTTAAAAGTGATTTGGTAATATACCATATCCCCAACTTTTAATTTGAAGAAATTTATTAATATATTTGCGCGCGGCGGCCTTTTCTACTTTTCCGCAAAATTTCCCATCCAGGAWCTGTTTTGCAATATTAAAAAAATAGAGTATTCAATTCACAATACAGATAGATATATGTACAACGATTTACCGTGCAATCCTGATGACCAAACAATGAGTTTAACAAGGAAAAACTGACCAAAGGAAGGTGAAGGCTGATACCATCAAAGCCATCTTGGATTATTTTGATTAAACGCTGATCGTTATATCAGTGGGCTCATGCATTTGGGCGGAAGATATTCAATATGGCGGAGCGGTCTCGGAGTGGCGGACAACACAGGCAGTTTTGTAAAATTATACTGAATTTGTCACATATGGATACTATGTAGTCTGCAGCATATAAATAAGTTACTATTCAAGGTTACTGCAGATCAAAATGGATGATATTTCCATCAAGAAACGTGAAATAGAGGAGAAATTAGCCCAGGTAACTAAGAGTTTAAATCAATCAGTCACCGCAGATTAAAATGAATGCTGTTTGTTTTTGTTTCAGGAGAAACTGACGTTGTCGTTTTTGAAGGAGAGTTTAGTAAAGAATGATCAAATAACTCACAACATGGTACGATAAAAAACGTTTGCTAATATGTCTAAAATCTTAACATTTCCCTCATATTAAAGCTTAAGCCTTTTTATTATCATTTTGACAGCTCAACATTCTTTCATCCTTTGAAAGTCGTATTCACAAACTGGAAGAAACTATTGTTCCTGTTCATAAAGAGACTGTAGATTTGCAGAGAAAGCAGGGCARTATCCTTTATTTGTAGCTATTGCTGGTATTTACTGAATCATAACCCAGTTTTGGGCTACCTGTGGAATCGAGGGAAACTATGCATTATTGGCGGCTAAAAAGTTTGGTACTTCCTTAATAATTTCCTCAGATATTGATAAATCACTGTCTGCACTTGATCATGTGATTAGCTATCATCATGTGTACTCAAATACCGAGTATGTCATAAGAGAGGCGTAAGTAGAATTTCATCCATCTTTTGTTCATTTATCCATTCATTCTTATATTTACTGATATATTTTTTTTTTTACAACAAGTATATTTTTTACACGCAGACCCACTGGTAAYCTAGATGCTTACATTATGAACCTAGAAAGAGTGATTGATGCCATTGAATTCTTTACACAAAATAATCCCAACTGCTTAGAGATGACACATTTGGTATGATTGAATTTGACTAGATCTCATTTGATTTGATTTGATTTTAATTTTTTATGATCTTATTTGATATGATCTCACTTGATTTGATCTCATTTGATATTTCATTTGATGTTAATTTTTCATGATATCATTTGGTGTGGTCTCACTTAATTTTATCGAATTATTTTGGTATGATCTAATTTGAACAGATCTCATTTGATTTACTCTAGTCTCCTCACAGCCATGTTTAGTTTTGGAACTTCCATTACACATGACCGAAACTAAATATGGTTGCATGAGGAGACTACCTGTCCCCCATCCAACAAACAATTTTAATTAAAAATACAAATGACTTCCTTATGACAATGATATTGTAGACATGAGAGTTCTCATTTTCTCTRTGTATTATCCTCTAGATATCCCTGAGAGACTTTGGTCGTGAGTCACTAGAAAAAGAGTTTAGAATGCTGTTGAATAGACACAGTAAACCAGTCCCAGGGAATATCATCCTAGATTGTGTTGGTATGGAGGAAGGTGAGAGGAGTATTTTATCATGTAATAGGACTCCATGCTGTCCAATTAAGAAATAATTGGACGAGGAAAATTCCGAGGACTGCCAAAAATTGGACGAGGCCGTGGCCCTATTAATTATATAGCCACATATTGATCCCAAATAGGTAAAAGCCAACCACAGCTTTTAACAAAAACCCAATTGAAAACCTGTCCAATTAATTTCATAATTGGACAGGATTCCAAAATTAACGAAAAATCCAGCTTTTACCTATTTGGGATTAATATGTGGCTATATAATTAGGTATAATAACTTTCTTATTTATTAGTATTAAATACCTGTATCAGTATTGTCTCTTAATTCAAAAGTTGTTATTTTCACTGCAGTGAAAATGACATAGTGTTTCGCTACACTCACTCGTGAGAAATCGTTTTTCCACATTCCAAGATAAAATCCATTTCCCATGTATCCATGTAAATATCCACTATTTATGGAATGAAGATATGCTTTTGATACCTACCGTAAAAAGGGGACTCTAAGTGCTGCATTTATTAGCTGTAGCAGTAATAATATTTCTGCTGTTGACGAGGGGAGGGGGAAGGGGGCATCCACATGTTTAGAGTGGGTATTGGCCATGGTCAGCTTAGTGGAGAATGATAAATCAAAATATAATGGAGAGGATATGAAAAACCATACATGAAAACAACTTGATTTGGATWAATTTATGGGATTCTAGGGGGAATAACATTTCAAAATGATTTCCTGTTACTCTGGGTACAAATCGCTACAACTAAACATTTAGAATGGATATGATGCAGTCATATTTTTGGCATACTTTGGCGCAGATTTAAGGATGTCTAGTRGTGTAGTGACAACGTTATTTACAGGACTCCCATTTCCTTTTCTGTTCAACCTTTACTTAATATCCCTGGCGATCTTGATCCACACATTGAATACCGGTCAATTTGTTCCAAAGTCAATTCGCTACCAGTCAATTCGTTACGCATCTTAACGAATATTGAGTCGATTCGTTTCGTGTTCATATTATATAATGTAATCATATAAAGTAATTTGTCTAAAGTCATAAATCCAATATTGAATGCTGAATGAACTGAGTTTAACTTGATTTTAATCAAGCTAAAGCGTAATTTTTCTTCTCATGCCGTACGCCATATTTGTTGATATATGATGTTATATAATCATGTTATATAATGTTAAAAGAACACCGAATCGACTCAACATTCTTAACGAATTGACTTTTTGCGTAACGAATTGACTGGTAGCGAATTGACTTCGGAACGAATTGACCGGATACCCCCACATTTCAGAATGAATGGATGGTTGATGTGTTAAATATTGTAGTACTTTTTTTGTCAGGTACTTTAGGAGAGGAGCTCAATGTAGATCACTTGTCAGAGAAAGTGATTGAAGACCTTAGCACCATCTCTCATTGGCTGGTTGGTCCTGGCAAGAGCAAATCTTTAGACTTTATCAGTGTTTATGCACAGATTAGATCCAATGCCCTGGTACGCTCAATGCAAGGGTAAGTTGCAAGAAATGTTTACAAAACAAAAAGTAATGATCATTCATTATTTTCAATACTCATCCATCGTGGAGCTTCAATTGGCCGATAACAAAAGAAGCAGGGGCCTGGGACTGAATTTTTTAAAAGTGATACAATCTACTTACAGAAATCTGTTGTCAATAGTTAAAGCACTTATGAATTAGCTAAAGTTTAAAGTTTGAGCAAGTTGAAGTCATTAGGAAGCAGAATTTTTCAAAAAAATTAAAGAATGT